CGCTGCGTCTGGATTGGCTAATCGCACGCGAAGGGCGGGTCCCGGCTAGGAGCAGGCGTTCGGATTGGCCGTAGGAGCGCGGGTCTAGCAGCGGGTAGGGTTGCCTGTGCCAACGCCCTTTAGCGCTGGCTCTCGCCTGAGATAGGAGCGGCTCTTTCTCCTCGCCCCAGCCCCGAGCGGAGCGCACCCGATCCAGCGGCGTGAGCCGGCCCGGCCTTGCGGAACGGACCCAGGTGAGCGGGACCGAGATCGGCCACGGGAATGAGAAAGGTCGCCGAGCGGGTAGGGTTGCCTGTGCCAACGCCCTTTAGCGCTGGCTCTCGCCTGAGATAGGAGCGGCTCTTTCTCCTCGCCCCAGCCCCGAGCGGAGCGCACCCGATCCAGCGGCGTGAGCCGGCCCGGCCTTGCGGAACGGACCCAGGTGAGCGGGACCGAGATCGGCCACGGGAATGAGAAAGGTCGCCGCGTCCTCCATTTTGTGAGCGCGGCGCGGAGTCTCCGGCGGCGCCGGGAAGCGGGAGATGCCGCCAGCGCCGCCGCCATTTCGCACCCCGGGGGGGCCCCGGAAGGAGCCGGCGTCCCCGCCCTCCCCCGAGGGATCGAGACTCGCCGCCCTGCCGGGGAGGTTCGGGCAGTGGTTTCCCAGTGCTGCCTCTTCCCCGGCCTTGCGCTGGGGACGCGGATCCCTGTGAGCGCCCGGCCTGCTCCCGCGCCGCCTCCTTCGCCAAGGGACAAAGATTCCCCTATTGTGTCTCCTTATCTCGGGGCACCCCCCCATCTCTGCCAGCAGCGGGGGCCCCGCTTGCCCCGCGGGAGCATGAACTGCCATGCCGTCCTCGGATCCTCTTGTTCCGGGGCCATTGTGTCCCCAGACGCGCGCTAGATACCTGTCTTCTCCTTCCCGTGTCCTCTGGGGCAGTCTCATCCTGTTCGTCCTCCTGTCTCTGCCCTTCGGTCGGTGGTTATTCTACTAGCCCCATTCCCCACGGTACCCATGTTTAAGGCAAATCTCTCTGAAACAAGGCGTAGAGGGAAGCGTTTAGGCAGGGCTCCTGGAGATAGCCCCTTTAGGTTAATGGCTTCCAGCCGTCTATTTCTTCTCCTCCCCCTCTAATTTTTTTTAGTATTCCCGGGCTGCAAGCCTGGCTAGTGCACACAGGAGTGAGAGGGAGGAAAGTGGAGGTGGAAACAAAAGCCACTCTGAAGAGACTGGAGTGCCTTTTCCCACCATCTGCTCTGTAGATTGTGCTCCAGTGGGGAGGGATTGAGTTATCTTTTCCCCTGTCATGGTTTCTGGGTTATTAACCTTCTGTAGAGACCCTGGAGCACTTGTCCTGTGACCAGTTCCCTGTGAAATGGGCTGGCTATATAAGCCTAAGGTTCTTCATTCCAAGATAGCTTTTGAGGTGGTGTAGTGGTGGAGATCCTTTATGGTCTGTGATTCTTGATTAATAGAATGATGATTGGCTTGATGTCTTCTGAGTCTTGGAGAAGGACAGAGTGTGGTGTCCTGTAGTTTTTGGCTCCCAGAGTCATGGCTAATCTGTTTCCCCTCTGGCAGGTTTTGAGGTGCCTTCTCCTTTTGACAGTGTGACAGCATCAGCTTCTCCTTCTGCCTTGCTGCCCTTTCCCCACTGCCAGCCACCATGGAGAAGACCGAGATGATCCAGAAAGCCAAGCTGGCTGAACAGGCCGAACGCTATGATGATATGGCTACCTGCATGAAGGCAGTAACCGAACAGGGTGCAGAGTTATCCAATGAGGAACGCAATCTGCTCTCGGTAGCCTACAAGAACGTAGTGGGGGGACGGCGCTCTGCCTGGAGGGTCATCTCTAGCATTGAGCAGAAAACAGACACCAATGACAAGAAGATGCAGCTTGTCAAGGACTATCGGGAGAAGGTAGAGTCTGAGCTCCGATCCATCTGCACCACTGTGCTGGTGAGTGGGGGATCTGGGGATACATCTTGCAGTCCTTTGGAAGTGACATATAAAGCATCTGTTCTTAGCTCTGTTGAGATACATAGGTTTGGGTGTGGGAGATCTGTGTGCAACACTCTGCTGGGGTGTGGGATAAGCCATTGCACCACTCTACTGAGGGAAGCAGGGATAGTTAGTTGTAATGAAGTGTGGGAAAGGAGGATGCAGTGAGAGGGAAGATCAATATGGATCACTCCTGTAATTATGGGGGCTACGGAAGGATTTGAGCTCGAGATTGTGTGCACCATTGTGTAAGTACAGCAGATAGTTGAGCATAACAGGGTTGGAAGGAAAAACAAGGATGCTTCTTCCTTTTGTGGTTCCTGGTTAATAACGCTTTTGTAACCATCCAGGTTAACCAGTGTAATATCTGAATGACCGGCTTTGGAGTGCTCATTTGGGTGGTGGTCACAAAATTCTGTTACCTTAGGTCAAGAGGAGATTTGTATAACATGAATAATTTCATAAGAGGTCTTGAAGTAAAAATATACTGTATAAAATATAAAACCTTAAGAGTCAAGTATTAAATCTGTAGAAAAGCAGGCATTCGGCACTTGCAAATATACTTCTCAGACTGCCTATTACAATAGAGATGCAATGGTTGTAGAATAATGCAAAACTACCAATGATTTAAGCTTGAAAGAAGTACTGCAGATGAATATATAATAGTACAGCAATGTTTGTATTTTTTTTACTGTACCCTAGTCATCTAGATGATCATAATAGTACAAATATGCTGCAATACAGTGGGTGCTGAATCTGTGTCAGCCGTGAAGAATATGCAGCACCCTATTCCAGAGGATCAATTAAAGTTCTGGCTGCAGAAAGTTAGATGTGCAATACAGCTGGAAGCAATAAATAATCTTGAATTACTTTATCACCAGTATAATGATAAAACAGCATTTCAGGTGGTATCTTAGGAAGAGGTGATAGCAAGTTCATAAAATAAATGTGTTTCAGATTTATCCAGGTGATCAGGAGACTAGTTGTCTTTTTCAGTAGTTATTGAGAAGCAAATTCAAGCCAAGAATTCTAACTCATTTGACAAGGGGGGGGGACATCTTTCTGGGTTGTGTGGAGATACACATTCCAATATATGCTGCCACCTAGTTTTTTGAATTAAAAATATGAGTTAACAATTGTAAGCCGTCTTGCAAAGTTGTATATGAAACAACCTGGTAAATGGGTCAAACCAATTATTTTTCCTTAACACTCTTAGAGGATATTTCATTTCTTTAAAAACCTGTTAATGTTTCAGACATGGTTAAAATTTTGGTAAAACTTTTTTTTAATAGCATGACTCATAAACCACAGGTTTAGAGTAATTCTCATTTCCTGTGACAAAATTCTAATTAGATTTAGTGATGTGCTGCCAATATTTTACCATGGAGCTCCCTCACACCATCTCTCCTTTTCTGTGATGAAGTCTAGCCACCAGCATGTTGAGATTGGTACGCACAACCAACCCTCCAGACTTTGAGGCTTTACCCCTTTACTTCCTGTCAAATGGCATTCTCAAGAGGTTTTGTGATAAGTGGCCTAATGGCTCTGGAACTGAATGAGATGTGAACAGTGAGCCAGCTCTTTTGGGGTCTTGTCTATACTGAAGTTACATAGTTAAGGTAATTGGTGCTTAGTAACAGATGTAGCAGTGCTAATGCAAATGTGTAGTGTTCACAAAGAGTATTTGAGTATCTGTTTGACTGGACCTGCTCCCTCTGCTCTCATCTGGGGTCTGATTGGCAACTGCCTGGTTTAATTTGCCCCTAAAATCTGCAGGAAGTAGTGAAGACAGAACATACAAAGTCACATGCTTTTCCTGTTCCCTGTCATCAGCAAAGACACTGATGCACAACTTCCTGTGGGGGGTGGGGGGGAGGTTCATTATGAGTTTTCACTGCTAGTTATGATACTGCTGCTTTTCCTCCCAGTACCATCTGCAGTTCTACCCCACTTCTTCTTGGTTACCTTCTTCATTCTGCTACTTTGTTCCATGAGTCAGCAACTGAAAGATTGAAACTGCCACTATAAAGAATAAACTTCCCAGCGTTTTCAATAAGAAGTAAAAGAGACTATTCTGTTTAGTATCAGAGGGGTAGCCTTGTTAGTCTGGATCTGCAAAAGCGACAAGGAGTCCTGTAGCACCTTATAGGCTAACAGATGTATTGGAGCATAAGCTTTCGTTGGCAAAGACCCACTTTGTCTTCACGTGCATCTGACAGAGTGGGTCTTTGCCCATGAAATCTTGTGCTCCAATACATCTGTTAGTCTATAAGATGCTACAGGACTCCTTGTCACTTACTCTGTTTAGCCTTCTTCAGCACATGATAACTTTTAAATCAAATTTCAGAATAACTTTGAAATAAATTGGTTTCCAGGAATATTAAGTTCCTACTCTGGTAAGGTATCTGAAAGATTATCACTTAAGTACAAAACTTCTCTATTGTATGATAAATGTAAGAACGGCTTGCAAATAATATGGAAGGGTTCCTTGTCAGTCACTAAACTCTGATCTAAAAAGGGTAGATATGTTGGGTGCAGTAGGTGGCTGTTTTTACTTGGTTATGTAACTAACAAGTAAGCTTTATCACTGTCAATGCAGCATAAACATTTCTAAAAGTTGTGCTGTTTTAGAAATCTGCATTTATAAAGAGTTTTAGCAGTATTTTGCATGATACAGTAGAATCTCTGATGTTTGTAACCCTGAATTACTCTGACCAGTCAACCATGCACATCATTTGGAACTGGAAGTATGCAATTAGGCAGCAGCAATGACCAAAACAAACAAACAAGCAAGCAAGCAAATAAACAAAAATACACTTCTATGTTAATCATAGATTTTAAAAAAAAGTTTAAAAAAGTGAAAGTAATAAAATTTTCTCCTTTTTTTTTTTCATTTAAATTAAGATGGTTAAAAGCGGCATTTTTCTTCTGCGTAGTAAAGTTTCAAAGCTGTATTAAGTCAGTGTTCATGTGCAAACTTCTGAAAGAACAATAATGTTCTGTTCAGTTACAAACAAGGTGCTCATTCCCATTCTATTCCTAAAATGCTCATAACTGTGAGGTTCTACTGTATTTAGTTAACTAAAATGTTGTAACACTGAGTCTGAAATTCCTTTTTCTCCCCTAATGGAGTGCTCCAGCTCTCCTCTTTTGATTAAAGTTTTTGAAAACCCACCTCTTATCTCCACTGCAATACTTTTGTTGAAGGTGTTTTGTAATTATTAATTTCATTTTAAATGTACTTGATCTCTTGCATGCTATTCACATACAACTCATGTCAGTGGGCACTAAGCTGTCGCAACTGAATAATAAGACATTCTAATTGTCCTAAAAGCAGAAGATAGAACTAAAAACAGGATAATCTTGATGAAGTTTCATAGGTAACAGGGATTTAATCCTTCAGGCAAGAGAACAATGACTGAAACATAAGTTTGGCACAGTTACCATATGGCTTTGGCAGAAAACTTGCAATGTGAATGTCATTTGTTCACCACACCTTGAGAGAACTTCCAGCAAAGCTGGTTGAATTACTTGATTGCTCTGTTGGGTAGTGTTGAATGACTAAAACTGGAATTTTCAGAAGTGATTTGGGAGCACAAGTCAATGGAGTGCTTTTGAAGATTTCCTCAGACTCAGTGGCCATGAGTTTGATTTCTGTGTAACTGATTCTAAAATTCTCTATTTGTTTTAAAGGTAAAGTTAACAAATCCACAACTTCTACTTTCATGAATATATTTAAATGTAGTATTAAACTTGCACATGCTAGAGCTTTGACCATGCCATGAACACAGTTGCATGCAAAATCATCCAGTGCATCTACAATGGCTGCAGTTTTTCAGGTTTCTAAAAATATTACACTGTGGAAAGTTGTGCTTCTTTTGAGAAGTAATTGAAGTGTGGTGTAGCACAGTGTTTAAAAAAACAAACTGTACAGTGGTGGCTGAGAACCTAGGGTACGTCTACACTAGCTCGTTAGTTCAAGCTAGGTAGGGTAATGAGGGCAAGCGGAGTTGCAAATGAAGCCTGGGATTTAAATATCCCGGGCTTCATTTTCATGTTCCCGGGCGCCGCCATTTTTAAATCCCCCTTAGTCCGAACTCCGTGCCCGTGGCTACACGCGACACGGAGTAGGTAGTTCGAATTAAAGATCCTAATTCGAACTGCCGTTACTCCTCATGGAATGAAGAGTAATGGCAGTTCAAATTAGGATCTTTAATTCGAACTACCTACTCCGTGTCACGTGTAGCCGCGGGCCCGGAGTTCAGACTAAGGGGGATTTAAAAATGGCGGCACCCGAGAACATGAAAATAAAGCCTGGGATATTTAAATCCCAGGCTTCATTTGCAACTCCGCTTGCCCTCATTACCATACCTAGCTTGAACTAAAGAGCTAGTGTAGACATACCCATACTGATTACTGCTTGTGTCCTACTGAAAGCAATATTGATTCTTAGCTATTATGCCTTTTTGTGTGAAAAGAAGAAGGGAATGGATATTTTTCACAATATAGTAGGTTCCCCACCCTGGACTAAGGCCTGGGTACTGGATGCAGCCCCAGTTTGCCTGGGTCCAGCCCCTGAGGTTCAGAGCCCCCCACCCCAGCATTGGAGTGCTGTCGCTGGCACTCCAGGTCTCTGCCCCACCCCTCCCACTGTCCTGCCATGGTTATGGAATGCACAAAATCTACTAGCCTGGGCCTCTCTAGGCTCTGGTGTGTGAGGGGAATGTGGGGAGTGTCCTCATCAGGGTCCACATTAGTGAGGTTTGTTTTTTTTGTTTGTTTGCTTTGCCAGCTTCAATATCCTTAGTACTTCACCCTTCAAGGGACATATCAAAATGATAATACTTCTCTCAGGTTCACTGTTGTGTGTTAACTTGTGTATATTCTGTATTAGGTAGCACTTGTCCTTAGTTTGTTTGGGCCTCTTCATATAACAAGGAAAAGATTTTTAAATTACA